GTGGTCCCTGGTCAGGAGTGAAATCAAGCTGGGGAGGAGCCAAGTCTATCAGGAGAGGATGGCAAGGGTGGGTGGTGTCGGAGTAAGAACCTGAAGAAGTTGAGACTCCGGACGGAAGCTTCCTTCAGAGGGATGGCGGATGCCAGTAGCGAAGCCAGTAGAACGCAAGGCGGCCCGTGTGGCTAGGACAGACAGACGAGGAGGCTCCCCGAAGTCAAGCAACCAGAGCCCTCATGGGTCACTGGTAGAACTTTTGCTTCCACTCCTGCTCTTGTGTGGGGCGTCACTGTAAGCCCGAGAGACATGATCTGCACCCTCCGCACACCCGAGGGCTTCTCTTGAACATGCGAGGCTTTCTTCTCAGCCCCAGAAGTCTTCAAAGGCCCCCTGCTTCCTGAAGCTTCCCCATCTGCACACCCAACCGACTGCCCCTTCGGCTTACTTCCACAGCACCTGGGGGACCTCCGTCAAAGGCCCCCGTTGAGGAGTCTGTACTCAGTAGCTCTGTACTTTCTGAGGAGAAGGAATTCCTTTTATGTATTACCAGTGCCCCGTCCAGCGTCAGCCCTTAGTAGATGGAAGAAGGGAGTGGGGGATGGAGGGAAGAAGGAAGGAAGGGGGTTGAAAGCTATATGCCCAGATGGTTTGGAAACAAGGGTTTCACATTCGGGCCACAGCCTGCAAAGCTTTACAGTTCTTCAGTCAGGGGGTGCTGTCCTCGGAGTTGTTCCGTCCCTGTGAACAGTTCTGACGCCATGTTCCTGTCACGTTCTGGGCAGAGCGTCCCGGCTCTTAACTGGACACCTGCTTTGAGACTTTTGCAGAATCCCTCAGAGCAAGAATATCATCTTAAGCAAACTGCATTGACACATGCATTCGAAGCACTTTCAAAGCTTCCAGCGAAATGTTCTGGATCGCACCTAATGACTTGACAAGATACCAGAAACGATTAAAACTAGTCGTGCCTGCAGTCAGGAAAGAGAAGCCCCGCCCTTCTGCTCCCTCCCCACCCCAGATGCTGTAGACAGAGCCCTGAAGCGCAGATCTGCTGTAAAACACCTTCCGTGTCTCTCCTCACTTTCCACAGCCCCGTCGTCCCTTGAGTTCTTATCCCTTCTGTGCCGGACAGACAGGGGCACGTCGTCTGTGGGGGACGGTAGGAAGAGGTTAAGACCCTCTAGCGCACAGCAGAATGAAACTTCCCTGGGACTTCCCCGCCCCAGACTGTGCCCCCTGCCTTTTCCCCAAAGCTTGTGGTGTTTCCTCTGAGAAGGAGTCCTGCCTGGAAGGCTCAGAGGTCATGTTGTCCCCTCCCCACAAGGAGCCTCTTGGCCACTGTGGCCTCCTCCAGTGGGGAGGCTGGTTCTGCTTGTGAGTGGTGATTGGTTTAGCCCTGCACTGGGTCCTCTGCTGCATGCACGGCTTCCCTAAAGGGCATCTCGCCCTCTCCTGGGACACGCGCGCTTCACGAGCGTGTGTGGCCCCCTTTAAATAACCTCTGTGTGTCATGGGACCTGCGTCGCCACTGCTCCTGCATTTCTCAATACAGTGGGTTTAATACAAACAGCTGCACGGAGGTTCTCCGGTGAGACACGGAAAGAGAAACAAAACTGTGAGCTACTGTGTTGCGATTAGTGCTTTATTTTCATCTCGTATTCTACCGTTTCTGCCCAAAATCTTGTGCTTTGATCCTGGACCAAAACCTGACTTGAAGCCTCCTGGTTGTTTCCCAATAAGATAACTGGAGCCGGCGATAGTCTAATGGCGCAGGCTGAGCTGAGCAAGCACCATTCACGTGCCCCTTCCTTCCCCCGCTCCCCTCCTCCCCTGCACTAGCGCAGAGCCCCGCCACAGACAGTAAACAGAGGGACTGCTTACAGGGTTTATTTGGAGAAGCAAGGGCAAGGGCAGACTGACGGAGGGCCTTGTGCACAATGTAGCCCCGAATGGGAAGCTCCGTTCGCAGACGTACTTTGGAGAGCTGATAACCTGCACGTCTTTCCCATGGTTCACGTCCTTAATGACTCCCAGGGCACAGAAATCAAGGTTCCTGCAACCCAGCATCAGATCCAGATGCAAACGTGAACAGATGGCTGTTAAAATTCCTGCTTGTGCAGCTCTGGCCCCGCTGAGCTCCATCCTGGGGAGCTGTCAAAGGGGAACCCACCCGTCTTCCTGAGAGCACAGTAGGTGCTGAGGTGTGGGGTTGGCCAGTGGAGACCAGGGCCAGGTGGGGCAGGACACAAACAGAAAGACAGCATCTGCCTCCTGGCACCACTAGCGAAAAAAAACCCTAAACATCTAATGGGGGATAGGGTGGATCTGTTGGCCTAGAAGCTCACAGAGGAGAAATACCCAAACCAAGTGGACTCCGACTCTTGAAGAGCCCCGTGGGACAGGGCAGAAGTGCTCTTTAGGGTGTGTTGGGGCTGGGGTGAGGGTTGGCGCTCCAGCGCTTAACCCTCCGTGCCACCAGGTCCCTGAAAGAAGACAGGAGAGTTGAAAAGGAGCGGAGGAAAAAGAATTCATACACACACAGATCCACACTGTTGGCAGCTGTACAGAGTAAGAGGCAGAAACTTGACCTTAATTTGAAACCCGACAGGGAGCCAGCAGAGTGATTTAGAAGGATAATGCCCTTCTAATGGCTGGAAGCGAGGGCACCACATTGGGCTGCAGCTTCTCAGCTGCAGTGTTTGGGAAGCGCTGCCCTCAGTGCTCAGGCTTGATTGCCTAAAATCTGAGGCGATGGGAGGGTCCCTGGGGAGATTTCGGAAAGAGGAACCTAGCACACTGGACACCTGTGATTTCTGGGACCTGCACACACCACTGAGCTGTGGCTCTCGGAGTGGCCCCGGGCATGCAGGGAGGTCAGGTTGCCCTCGGGGGCGCTGCAGGACCGAGGAGGAGAGGGCGGCAGTGAAGCAGGCGGGCTTGGGCTTCCTGGCTGGCCGCCCAACCCTGAGCTGCCTCTCTGGTGTGGAGGCCAGAGAAGCAGGACCGGGAAGCAGAAGAGCCGCTGTGTGTGGCCACGCCCCTCAGGACACCTGGAAGCCCAAGTGTCAGTGACCTGCTTCCCCCCAAGTGGGCCAGGTGTGAAAACTCTTTCTTGCGAGTGGGGTAAAGGATTACAGAGCAGGGCCTCTGCTTTGCATTCAACAACTCCTACGCCTTTCGTCTCATCTCATTCGTGACCAGCCCCTCTGTCAATGTGCCATCCCTTAACCCACTTCTTCCAGGTTTCCTGTTGCCCTTCCTCCTGCTGAACTTTTGTCTTTGGGGAAATGATGCCCTTGGGATCCCAAACACTTGGTTATTCTAAAATGTGAGTCCCTCAACGTGTGCTACTGTGTCCCTAGTAGACCAGTCTATTGTCTGGCTGACAGCTGAGCCACAGGTGTGAGTCCAGAACCAGACCTGAAGGGTGACGAGGGCCATGGGGTCAAGGGCTCCCCCAGTCTCTACCTGAGCAGTAAGCTCCGTCTCTTGTCTGCGTGTGAGTCTTGCTCTACAGTCTCCCTCACTCTGTCCAGGACCTGCCAGTGTCCGCGCCTCCTCTCTGAAGGCATTGTGTGCTTCCCTGGTTTCGCTGGGGTCCTTCTGCCCACTGACAAAGAAAAACACTCCCCGGCGTGCTCCTCCTGCGGCCCACTTCCTCGATTGGAAGCAAGTGTCCCCCCTCCCTCGCTACTCTCTCCTGACCTCCCTGGCACTCCGGCTCATCTATAGTCTCTGCCCTTCTTCTCCCAGGTGTTAAACCAAGCCACAGTCTGGGGAAAGTGTGGCGCAAAGGAGAGAAAATCCCTATCCAGAAAAAGAAATAGTAGAGAGTAAAATTCATTTTGCTAAAAAAGAAATCCTTGAAGTAAGGAAGGTTTTTCAAAGTTCACACAGCTGAGAATACTTCTTTCTCTCTCGCTCTTGTTTGGTTTTTTTAATGCTAACACCATCCGCTTGATGTAGCTCTTGTTTATAACATGAAAACCAGCCTCGGCCCTGCTGAGTGGGCATCTCTCGAGTGTGCGGTAGCTTGTTGGAGGGGGACGTTGTGAGCCTGGTGGGTCTGGTGGCACCTGGCGTACGGATGGCTGGGAAAGAGCCTGTCCCATTGTCAGTGTCAGCACAGCATGTGGTAGCAGTGGTCTCCTGGAGCTGCCATATCAAAGTACCAGAAGCTAGGTGGTTTATAAGAGCCCCCATGCATGGTCTCACACTCCCAGAGTCTGACAGTTCAAATTCAGGGTCCCCTGAGGAACAGCTGTCTGCACTGAGCCTTTCTGGCCTCCCACAGGTTCGGATGGCCCCAGCAACCCTTGGTGTACAGTCCTAGTATAGGACCTCCTCCTCTTGGTCACATGACCATCCCCTATTTACACACACACACACACACACACACACCCTCCATCTCCATGCCTCTTCTCTTTAACGAAGGCACCATTCAGATTGAATCCAGTAGGAGGAACCCCCACGTTAACGAATAACAACTTCGAAGACCCAATTTCC